AAGAGATAGAAAGACAAAACATTTCAAATAACTGTAGACAGTATAAAATAGTTGGGAGTCCATCTGCCAAGTCACTCACAGGAACTATATGAACATAATTACACATAACTACACATTTTTGCATAAAGAGAGATCTAAATAGAGAAATATTAATTGCTCAAGAGCAGGCCAAGCCAATATAATAAAATGGCAATTCTACCCAAATTAATTTACTTATTCAGTGCCATGCCACTCAAACTACCAAACAATTATTTTATAGAACTAGAAAAAATAAAAACAAAATCCATCTGGAAGAACAAAAGGTCAAGAATATCAAGGGAATCAAAGAAAAAAATTAACAAGGCAGCCCAGCAATGACAGATTTCAAACTATATTACAAAGCAATAATCATTAAAACAATCTGCTACTGGAAAAGAAACAGTGTGACTGATCAGTAGAACAGATTAGATACACACAAACAGTAATCTAGTGTTTGATAAACCCAAAGATCCAACTTTTGGGTCAAGAACTCACTATTCAACAAAAATTGCTGGGAAAACTGGACAGCATTCTTGCAGAAACTAGGCATAGACCAGCATCTCACAATATTTACCAAGATAAGGTCAAAATGGGTACATGAGTTAGATACAAGGGGTGACATAAACAAATTAGATGAGCATGTAAATTTTATGGGTCTATGGATAAGAGTTTATGACTAAACAAGACAGAGAAATCATGGGGCGTGGGGGAAACAGAAATTTTGATTACATGAAATTTAAAAGTTATTGCATAAACAAAACCAATGCTGCCAAATTAGAAAGAAAGCAGTAAACTGGGGGAAAAAATTCAGCAAGTTTCTCTGATAAAGGTCTCATTTCTCAACTACATAGAGAACTGAACCAAATTTATAAAAATGAGAGCCATTCTCCAAATGACAAATAATCGAAGGATACGAACAGGCAGTTTTCAGAAGAAAATGCTCTAAATCACTAATAAGACAAATGTTATAGGGGATATGGAAAAACAGGTACAGACGCATGGTTGTTGGAATTGTGAACTGTTCTCACCATTCTGGATAAAAATTTTGAGGGGCAGGAAGGTAGCGTAGTGGATAGAGCACCGGCCCTGAAGTCAGGAGGACCTGAGTTCAAATCCGGCCTCAGACCAAACACTTGACACTTACTAGCTGTGTAACACTGGGTAAATTACTTAACCCAACTGCCAAAAAAAAAATTGAGCTATGTCCAAAGGGCTATAAAACTGTGCACATCCATTGACCCAACTACTACTAGGTCTGTACCCCAAAGAGATGAGGCAAAAGACTAATATATACACAAAAAAATTATAGCAGCTCTTTTTTTTTGTGATGGCAAAGAATTGGAAATTGAGGGGATGACCATCAATTGGGGAATGGCTGAACCAGTTACAGTATATGATTGTGATGGAATATTATTGTGCTATAAGAAATGAAGAGGGGTATGGTCTGAAAAACCTGGAAGAATTATATGAATTGATGCAGAGTGAAGTGAGCAGAAGTAATGGACGGTAACAGCAATATTATAACAATGATCAATTGAGAAAGATTAGCTCCTGTGATCAATATAATGATTCAACAACTCCAGAAGACTGATGATGGAAAATGCTATCCACATCCGGAGAAAGAACTATGGCGTCTGAATGCAGATGGAAGCATATTATTTGCTCTCTCTCTTTTTTTGTTTCTTCTTTCCATGGTTTCTCCCATTGGTTCTAACTTTTCTTGACAATGTGACTAATGTGAAAGTAGATTTAATATGAAAAATATATATTACATATAACATATATATGTTCATATGTATATGTATGTACATACGCATGTCTAATGATCCAAGAGAACTCTGAAGGACTCATGAAAAATACTATCTACCTCCAGAGACAGGGAACCAATAAACTCTGAGTGTAGATGGAAGCATATTTTTTCCCTTTATTTTTCTTGCTTTTTTTTCTTCCAATGTGGCTAATATGGAAATGTTTTGTATGACACATTTAAAAAAGAAAGAAAGAAGGAAAAGTCGTGACATCAAGCGGAAATGATAGAAAGGGTGATTAGGAGAGACAGGAAGGAAGAGCATCACCTAAGCAGGTAGAGGGGTAGGCTTAGTAAGGAGTAAGGCCACCTTAACATTTGAGTCAGCGTGAAGAAAGAGGTAATGGCAGAAAGCATATGAATGATAAGAGAGAAGAAAGAGGGAGCAAATCATAATAAACAAAAATAACTGTACAAATAAGTTTATAGTCTAAAACCAACATTGCTTCTGGCCTTAAGAGATTAAGGCATCTTATCTTGAAAAACCAGAAGTTGTATTTCCTATTTGTTGGTATACAAAATTTGAACTTAATTTATATAGAAACATAGTACCGGAACATAATACAAAAGCACTGAGGCTCCTCAAACTTAGTGAGAGTAGAACAAAGTACAAATAATGCCACTAAAACCAATTTTTTTGTTTTGTTTGATAATGAATAACTTTATTCCTATTTCTGCCAGGCAGCTCAAAAATGTAAGTGGACCGCATGAGAACATATAGATGGACTGATAGAACTCCATCTCTATTGATGATTAATTAACAGCATCATTTTCAAATATGACATATAACATATGTTTAATGCAATCAATAGTACCATAACATATTTTAATAAAATGCAATATAACAAATGGATGATTTCTGGAAGCCATATTTTGGAACCCCACAATATACTGATAAATCACTTCTACATAATAAGAATCTGGGTAAATCTTCAAGAGTTTCCAGTATGTCTTTACATAATTCAACCTGACATTTCCTAAGTATCTACGATTAAGCTAGGCCTGGTAATTATGAAAAAGATTACAAAGATAAAGCCTCTGCTTTCAATGAAATATATATAACTAGCAAACTGAAGCTCAGAAAGTTTGTGATTTGTTCAAGTTCCACAGCTAGTCAACGAACATACTAAAATCTGGGTTTTCTGATATTAAAAACTGAGTGTTTCTCCCTTGAACCTGTACTATGTGGCCCAACAAAACAAAACATCTTAGGTGAATGAAGTGCAGCTTAAAAGTATCCTTTGCTTCCTTTAGAGAAGAGGACCTTCAAATTCAACAAATATGTATTAAGAACCTACCACGTGGTAGGTACCATACTAGGAGATGGGAATACAAAAATGAAAAATAGCACAATCCCTTACCTCCAAGAGTTTGTAGTCTAATGGAGGAGAACAAATATGTATAAGACAAGGCAGAATTTGATAGGTACAAAAGAGAGCTAGGTAAAGTGCTATGAGAAACTTAAAGCGGGAAAGATCTCTTTCATCTGGAGTCTCAGAGACAATTTCATGGAGAATATCATTCTGGCCTTGACATAAAGGAGCGACTTCAACACACAGGCAAGAATGAGAAATAGGATAAGATGAGGCCAGAAAAGTAGGTGGAAAGTTATCTACTTTGTCTGGAAAAGGCAGTAGCATGAAATCGACTAGACTTAGACCATGGAGGCTCCTAGATGCTTCGCTGGAGGGGGAAGAGGAGTTGCTTTATTGCAGGCAACTGGGGAGAGAAATGGCGAGACATAGTGGCTCATCATGAAGATTACTCAGGCAGCAATACAGAAGGCAGAAACAACTCAATTTAATAAGCATTATTAAGTGCTTACTATGAGCAAGGCACTGTGATAGACGCTTAGGACGTATAAAAAAAAGTGGTCTGTGATCTGAAGGAGTTAACATTCGACTGGGACAGGAAAAGACGACTGGAAGCAGAGGGCCAGTTAGAAGGACATTCTAACAGTCCAGACAAGAAAGGATGGGCTGTCCTCGGGCACTGTGTCAATGGGTCTGTTATTTCTGAGGTAGAAGAAACAGAGCTCTAGACCCAACCAGCTTTGTGACATCACAGACAAAAACGAGTCAAAGATACGGCTGAAGATGAGCATCTGGAGAGACTGGGATGGCGGAAGTGTGGGGAGAACGGAAAGGCCTTGAGGGCAACAATGGCTTTTAATTCTTTTGTCTTTGTGTATCTGAGACACTGCCAGTCGTCCTCATCTACATCTTGCCACTGGACTCCAATGACTCTAGAGGAGAGAGAGAGGCTGATGACTTTGCAACCACCCTGTGTCACTTAAAACTAATTCACTTGCAAGTCAAGACGTCACTCTCCTGATGTCACTGGTCCTCTTCGAAAAGGAAGAATGAACAACAATCTTTGTATGTACAGACCCTAGCATATGGTTCAAAGCTGTGTTTTCAGTGGTGTGAATTCCACTGGAAAGTTTCAATGGAAACTCTCACCATCAACGTCAATGAGAAACTCATTGGTCTGAGGGGTCAACGGACTTGCCTATGACCACACAGCTAATATATTTCAGAGTCACGGCAAAAATCATTCTCTAAGAACAGTCTGAAACCTATCTTTACAGCCTCGTTTGAGGAAGCTACTTGGAGGGGCTGAGGTGTCTTCTTAGCATCAATGGAAAGAGTGCTGGCTCATGGAGCAACCCCCCTCTCCCTCTTCTCCCTAAGTTAAGATTCTTAATGGCCGTTTCATTTCTGTTAGTGTACTCTCAGCGCCTACACAAAGTAGGTTGTTGGTAAGTAAGACAACCTTCCTGGAGTTTGGTTTTCTTCCCTGTACAATGAAGGAAGCTGGACTAGTTATATTCTGAGATATTCCCTCTGAGACCTAAGCCTGTGATCCCCATCATCACCACGGGGATATACATGGGGGAGGGGGAGGGAGAATGTCACAGAACACACCCCTCCCCAAACTCCGCCCCATTGGTAGAATCCCAGTTTAGGGGGGAGGGGGAAAAAGATGGGGGTTGGGAGGAGGAGGGAGAGGGAGGGAGGGAGGGGGAGAGAGGGGGAGGAGAGAGAGAGAGAGGGAGGGAGGAGAGGGAGAGGGAGGAGGGGGAGGGGGAGAGAGAGAGAGATAGAGAGAGAGAAGAGAAGAAGGAGGAATAGAAGGGTCGCGCCGCCCCCAGCCCGGCGGCTACGTCACTCACACTTTGTACGGCAGCCGCGGGTCCGAGGTCAGTGTGATCTTAAAGGAAACTTTCGACCTGCAGAGTAAAAAGCAGACGGCGAGTTAGAAGAGGGAGGCGGGGGAGAGGGCTCCAGCCCTCCTGGAGAGGGGGCGGGGGCGGGGCGGGTCAGCTCGTAACGTCACTCACATAGTGAGGCCGTGGCTAGACTTTACGGAGCCTCACGGCGCTGCTCGGATTCCTCCTTCGCTCAATTCTTTAGTTTCAGCAGCCAAAGCCACAGCCTTCCTTTCCTCACTCTCGGAGGGGCCACGTCTCCCTCCGCTGTCACCTGAGGACCTGGGGCTTCCCTCGTCGAGGTTGCCCACAATGCTGCCTGACAAGAGGCTCCAAAATATCCAGCTCCTCAGCCACCCGAGGCAAAGGCCACTGGAGAAACCTTATCCTGCTGCTTTTAAGGCCATGGTTGGGTCTGTACCCGACGAAATAACCTGCAAGTGAAATACGCTGTGGTTGTTTTAGGTCAGGCATCTCCACGGGAGGCTGCACAAGCTCGGCAGCAGAGAGGCGGGGCCCGAGGTTGGCTCCTCCCAGGGCGGAAGACGCAGGAACGAGGAAGGAAGTTTCCCTAGAAGAAAGGAGGAAGTAGCACAGTTGCTGCAGTTGCGCTGCGCATGCGGGCTCACAGAGAAGTGTAGGCTGAGGCCGAGGCAGCTAGATTCCGTGATCCATTTCCAAACCAATTGTGTTACCTCGAGGCTGACCTGCCCTCTCCGAAGCCTGAGGCCCAGTTGTTTTCCTGCACCACCCTTCCCCAGCGCCCATTGATTGCTGCCGCAGTTGTCACTTGCGTGACACCCTGTGTGTCGGTCATTTCTCTTCCAGCCATCACTGTTGTATCCTTCCAGACCCTTTCTGTTGTATCCGCCGCCTAGAAATGGGCTGAGCTCAGAGTAGATCATATATATATGGTCCTAGATTTAGGCCAGCCCTCTCATTTTGCAGATGAGGAATTAAAGGCCAGAGAGACCAAATGACTTCACATTTTCAGATAAATGGGAATAGTTAGGATTCGAAGTGAAGATCTCAGACTTCAAATTAAGCGTTGTCTTCTCTGTTACACAGTAAATACTTGCGAATTGCTCAACCGTAGAATCTACATACTGATAACACTAACCCAAGCCTTTTGCCTCATTTATAGCTATGCTTTTTATGTTGTATTATTGTGAAGGCAGCCTGGGGTGGTAAAACAGCTTATCTACCAAGAAGACTCGAGTTCAAGTCCCATATGTGTTACCTTAACCACTTAATGCTCTATTCAGCTCTTTTAAGACTGGATTTCAGAGAAGGTATGTATATTGATATATCGATACAGGTGATTTTTCATCTGAGTGTTTTCTAAGCCAATTTAATCCAATCAATATGTATTAAGCGCCTACTATGTGCCAGTCACTGTGCTAAGTGCTGGGGAGAGAATTAATAAAAAGCTTCTGCCCTCTAAGGAGCTTACAAACTAATTAAGGGAAGCGGTGGGGGAGAAAATATACAAAAGAAGATAGGTAAAGAGTGGGGCTACCAGCTTGTTTCCTGGAGTTATAAAACCAGAGCAACAGATGTAAAGTGGAGTGAAATGAAAGTACATTTTCTACTTCTTATACCTTTATGGAGGCATCCCTCCTGCTCTCCAGCCCTAGGGGAGAGGAGTTTGAGGTGTCAGTAAAGGTTTAAGTTAGCAGCATTGAGATGAGATTAGAAGCCATAAGTTTATCCTGGGAGAGGCATCTTGTTCAGCAGAGTGGAAACCTGGCAGAGCAGCTAGGGGCAGTGGATAGAATGCAGGCCTAGAGTCTGTAGACACATGTTTGTGGGTTCAAATTTGGCCACACTAGCTGTGTGACCCTGGGCAAGTCACTTAACTGCTTGCCTCAGTTTCCTTATCTGTAAAATGAGCTGGAGAAGGAAATGGCAAACCACTCCAGTATCTTTGCCAAGAAAACCCCAAATGGGGTCACAAAGAGTGGGACACAACTGAACAACAGCAGCAGCATATGCAAAGGTAGAGAAACCAATGAATTCCAGTACCCTATCCCTGATGTCTTAGAGGCGGTGTGGCTTAATGAATAGAGAACTGGCATTTAGTTTAAGAAGTCCTAGGTTAAAATCCTGCCTGACAATTATTAACTATGTGATCCTGTGATCTCTACATATCTCAAGCTACTCCTTAAAAGTAATTTGTTAAATCCCTTCAATATTTGTGTATATAATATTATATCACTGAGAGAACATAGTCCTTTACTGATGAGGATTTATTTGCCTGTAAAAAGAAATACCATAGTATTTAAAACCATAAGACAACCTAGAGATCATCTAGTCTACTACTCTCCTTATTTTACACATAAGGAAAAAGGTTCCAAGAGGTTAAGTGACTTGCTCAGGGTCACATAACTCTACCTATATTTAGAAATCAAATAGTAGAACCTGGATTTAGAAATAGAATCTTCTGACCCCAGCACACAGAATGAAGCTCAACCATTGTTATGACAAATCTGGAACTTTAGAATTTCAGGACATGGTGATTGGTTGATTGGTTTACAACATTTGGCCAAAGGGAAGCTAATGATGTCCTAAGATGCAAAGAAATAATAAAACAAAATCAAAAGAATGAAAAAAATAGATGACAATATGAAATATTTCTTAGAAAAAACAACTGTTAGAGAACATATTGAGGGGAAATAATATAAGAATAGTTGGACTGCCTAAAAATTATGGTAAAAAAACCTTGGTGTAATATTACAAGAAATTATCAAGGAAGTTTGCCCTTAACTTCTAGAATGAGAAGATAAAGCAGAAATAGAAGAAAAATTCACTGATCACCATCTGAAAGAAATCCAGGTGGAAAACTAACAGGAATATCATAGCTAAGTTTCGAAGCTCCCAGGTTAAGGAGAAATATCAGAAGCAACAACAATAAACAATTTAAATATCTTGGAGCTACAAAAAGGATTCCACAAGACCTAGCAGCTACTGCTTTGAAGGACTGTAAGTCTTTGAATACTGTATTCCATAGAGCAGTAGATCTGGCATTACAACCAAGGGTAACTTACCCAGCAATGTTAAGTATACTCCTGAATGAAAAAATATTGAACATTTAATGAACTGAAAAACTTTCAGGTATTCATGGCAAAAAATAACAGAATTTAAGGTAAAATTGGACATATAACATCCAGAAGAAATATAAGATAAGCATTAAGGACCAATTATAAGGGACTCAGTAAGGTTAAATTATTTACTTCCTATATATGAAAATAGTATCAGTTCTTTTGTGGCTGTAATTTTTATTTGAGTAGTTTGAAATGGGAGTTTGGGCTGAGCTCAGTATGATGGAGTGATTCTAAAAAAAATAAAACTGTAGGGAGAGATTAAAAGGAGCAATTTTCTAATACAAATGAGACAAAAAAGAAAAAAAATGATACAGAAAAAGCTAGTGGGAGTATGGTGGTTATAGTGCTGTCATCAGGAATAGGCTAAAGAGGGAATAACATATTCACATTAGGTTTTGTTTTTGTGGCTGTGGTTTCTATGTCTCACTGTTTCCTTATATGGAGCTGGTAATTCTCTAGAAGTTCTTGGCATATTTTTCACAAAGAAGCCTGTTAAGTCATGTCTCCTAATTCCTACAGCTATCTAAATAATATTTTTAAAGTTTTTTAAAACATTTTTATTTGAAATTTTGAATTCCAAATTCTGTCCCTCCCTTCTTTTTTTTTACTCTCCCTGAGACAATAAACAATCAGATATAGGCTATACATGCACAATTTATGTGAAACACTTCTATATTAATCATTTTGTATTAGATGACTCAGACAAAAGAAAAAATGAAAGAAAGTAAAAATAGTATGTAATAAAACAATATCAGTTCTTTCTCTGGAGGTGGATAGTATGCTTCATCATTAGTCCTTTCGGATTGTCTTGGATCATTGCATTGCTGAGAATAGCTAAGTCATTTACAGTTCCCCATTGTATAATATTACTCTTACCATGTATAATGTTCTCCTGATTCTATTCACTTCACTATGCATCAGTTCACGTAAGTCTTCCCAGGTTTTTTCTTAAATTATCCTGCTTGTCGTTTCTTATAGCTTGTCATTCCATTACAATCATAAACCACAGCTTGTTTAGTCATTCCCCAACTGATGGGCATCCCTTTAATTTCCAATTCTTAGCCACCACAAAAAGAGCTTCTATAAATATTCTTATACAAATAGGTCATTTCCCCCCCTTTTTTTTTTTGGATGCCTTTGGGATATAGAGCTAGAAATGGTATTTCTGGATCAAAGGGAATGCAGTTTTATGGCTCTTTGGGTATAGTTCCAAATTGTTCTCCAGAAGAGTTGGATCAGTTCACAGCTTCACCAACTGCATATTAGTGTCCCAGTTTCCCCTCCAATATCCAACATTTTCCTTTTTTCTCTATCAGTCAATCTGATAGGTATGAGGTGGTACCTTAGAGTTGTTTTAATTTGCATTTCTCTAATCAATACTAATTTAGAACAATTTTTTCATGACTATAAATAGCTTGATTTCTTTGTCTGGAAACTGCCTGTTTGTATTCTTTGACCATTTATCAATTGTGGAATGATCTGTATTTCTACAGATTTGACTCAGTTCTCTACAAATTTGAGAAATGAGGCCTTCATCAGAGATATCTAATGCAAAATTCCCCCCCTTTTCTGTTTTCCTTATGATTTTCATTGAATTGTTGTGTTTGTGGAGAAACTTTTTAAAATTTTATAATCAAAATGATCTATTTAACATTTTGTAATACTCTCCATGCTTTCTTTGCTCCTAAATTCTTCCCTTATCCATAAATCTGACAGATAAACTATTCATTGTTCTCCTAATTTGCTTACGGTATCACACTTTATGTGTAAAGCATGTACCCATTTTGACCTTATCTTGGTACGTACTGTGAGATGTTGGTGTATGCCTAGTTTCTGACTTACTGTTTGCCAGTTTTCCCAGTAGTTTTTGTCAAATAATGCATTTTCATTTGAAAAGTTTGGATCCCTGGGTTTATCATATACTAGATTACTATGATCACTTACTATAATGTAATTTGTACCTAAGCTATTCCACTGATCCACCACTCTGTTTCTTAGCCAGTACCAAGTTGTTTTGATAATGACCACTTTATAATACAGTTTGAAATTTGGTATAGCTAGACCACCTTCTTTCTCACTTTTTTTCATTGATTCCCTTGAAATGCTTGAGCTTTTGTTCTTCAAGATGAATTTTGTCATTTTTTATTCAGCTCTATAAAATAATTTTTGATAGTTTGATATGGCATAGATTTAGGTAGAATTGTCTTAGGTATTAATATTGTCTCAGCCTACCCACTAGCAATTGACATTTTCCTAATTGTTTAGATCTGACTTTGTTTGTGTGAAAAGTGTTTTGTAATTATGTTCATATAATTCCTGGGTTTGTCTTGGCAAATAGACTCCTAAGCATTTTATATTGTACACAGTTATTTTAAATAGAATTTTTCCTTCTATCTCTTGCTGCTGGACTTTGTTGGTAATATATAGAAATGCTGGTGATCTATGTGGGCTTATTTTATATTTTGTAACTTTGCTAAAGTTGTTAAGTATTTTAAGTAGTTTTTTAGTTGATTTTCTAGGATTTTCTAAATATACCATCTTATCATCTGCAAAGAATGATAGTTTTTTTTCTTCCCCTTAGTTGCCTAGCATTATTACTTTCATTTCTTTTTCTTCTCTTATGGTTATAGCTAACATTTCTAGTATTATATTAAATAATAGAGGTGATAATGGGCATCCTTATTTCACCCCTTATCATATTGGGAAGGATTCTAGCTTATCCTTATTACAGATAATGATTGCTGATGGTTTTAGATAAATATTACCCATCAGTTTAAGGTAAGCTCCATTTCTTCTCATACTCACTAATGTTTTTAACAGGAATGGGTGCTGTATTCTGTCAATGACTTTTTTTGTACTTATTGAGATAATCATGTGATTTTTGTTGGTTTGTTATTGATATGGTCAATTATGCTGACAGTTTTCCTAATATTGAACCAGCCTTGCATTCCTGGTATAAATCCCACCCGATCATAGTGTATTAACCTCATTAACCTCATGATAACTCTTTGCTAACATTGAATTTAAAATTTTTGTATCTGTATTCATTAGGGAAATTGGTCTATAATTTTTTTCTCTGTTTTGGTTCTTCCCAAGTTAGGTATCAGTAGCATATTTGTATAATAAAAAGAATTTGGTAGAATTTCTTCACTTGTTTCTACAAATAGTTTATGTAGTATTGGAATTAA